TGATAATAAGAACAATTTTCCCGTATATAATGATGCAACATGTGCTGGAATTATAGCATCAGTTAATGGTTGTACCAGAGTGTTGATATCTGAAGAAGCAGATGTACTGTTGCCATCAATTGGTGCTGTCCTGCCATCACCGTTTGTGAATAAGGATGTTCCTACTGTAAAATCTGAAGCACGAGTTGAAATGATGAAGATGTTTGATGGTGACTGTCATATGCGAAAATTGAAAGGCAATATATCAAAAATGGACAGTTTCAAACATTCATTTATTGTTTGTATATGTTATTGATTGACTTTACATGTAATTTTTTTTTCTTTAGGGAGCAAGTAGTGGAGGTATAATTGTGACAGCTTTGCAGAGAAAATCTAATGGATCTCAAGTTGATGCATTTTTTGAACGTCTGATAATTTGGTGTTTACGTCCACCACCATTGATGTTTGTGCCAGAGAGTGAAAAGAAAAAGCCAATGATGCACAAATTCCCATCTTTTGAAGAATTTTGTGTTATTCTAGGATTATTTGAAAATTTCGAATTATACTATGATGTTGATAGTGACAAAATGATGGTCGATTTCGGTAATCAATATACGACATTAGGTATGCAATATCTTTCTATTTTAAATTTATTGCTGAAATTTTCACACTTTATGTTACATTAGCATATGAACAAACTGATCGTTATTTAATGGCTAAAATTGGGAAAATGATCCAGTTAACTCATCGATTAGTAGGATTAATACAAATCTTAGAATGGAGTTGGAAAATTGCTGCTGAATATTTACGAATAAATGGTTATTTTACATCGTGTATTTCGAACGACTTTATATCGAATATACGTCAAATTTTTGAACGTTTACATGGTGAAGATAATGGTGATAAACGTACGTTTGTGGTATCGGTGGTATCTGTTGAACGTGCTATTAATATTTCACAAGCACTTTTGGAGCAATATAAAGTAATTATGCGGGTACCTGATGATCCTGCTCGTGTTGTATCAGCACATAGTAATAAGGTAGAGTCTAATGCCATGGAACGTACCAGTATAAATCATAAATTGGAAAAGTCGAAGTCGAAATATGGTGAACATGTTCGTGGGATATTATTATTTAAGTCAGTGATCTTTACATCAACAACGCTATATAAAGCGTGTTCTGTATTCAGACATCATTCTGGAAATGTTAACTCTGTTTTACAAGAATTATTCAAGATGGGTCTTATTATTGCATTTGATAACGGAATTATTTCGTCAACAAAAAAGGCAGTAGTTTATGCCAAATGGCTGCCAAATGTAAATGATCTGGAGGAATGTCAACGTTTTGAACAGAAGCTGGCAACATTTAACGATGATCTAATTTCTGCAGATTCGATTGTTGCTTGTACGACTGCTATTTCATTATTACCACATAAAGCTAATCCAAAACCAGCTGTTTTGAATTATTTGAAGAATGAACGATACGCTCAATTAAAGCTTGATTTTTGTGCGAATAATCTTGCCTCGGAAGGTAATATTGGTTGACGATAATGTTGTTGTTGTTGACGACTCAATGAGGAATTTTTTATTGTAGGTGCATTTGATGTTAGCGAAGCTGGCGAAGATTCAAATAGTAGCAGCGTCTTGCTCGAGGGTAATTAGAGTTGAATAAACTTTGGTGATCATTTTAAGAATTTGTTTGTTATAGGTTTGACCAAACCAAATGAAGTTCCTTTAACAGGTTTTTTTTGTAGTTATGATAAAGACTCTATAACCTCGACGAGAACTGAGCTGCATATTTCTACAAATAATGGTTCAGTCACGAATGAACGACGTATGGTTGCATCAAAGAATATCGATAATGGCAATAACAGTATGCAAGAAAATATAAATGTTATTGATAGTACCCATATCAGCTCAGTAAGTTCCTTGGCTGAAAAAGGATTGATGAATACTATCGAAACAGGTAATTTTTTCTTAAACATGTGCTGTTTCTTTTTTTATTTATATCTGATTCTGATGTATAGGTCAAGCTTATAATTATATATCAAAGAGAAAAAGTATTCAAAGAAATGAAGAATCGGACGATGATGAAGATAACATGCCACTTCGTGTGCGGATTCGATCAATTCACAATAATGTTGATCATTAGCTGAATTTTCAATTTTGACTGTACTTGTATTGATTTTATAACGTCTGTAACAAAATGTAAAAGAAAATAAAAAGATTCTAGTGATGTTACAATCATTCAG